ATTTTACCGTAAAATGAAAATGTCCCCATTTATCTGAACAATGTCAAATGGAAGAACTATATCACGGCAAATGATACAGCTCACAAATAGAGCAGCTGCAATAGTGGAGCCTAACAATGATTATGTGTATGAAATGTATCTCATCAGTTCAGAGATCAGTAACAAATAGGTCATAATTCAGTTATACATCTGATAAATTTTGAGTCTGAAAGTCTACACACCCATCCGTTCCATCATGGAGTTAAAAAATATTTGCCATTAATTGTAATTATGTTATAGGTACATTTTTTTTTTCCATTTCTGCATTATTTAGGTGCATCATATTGTGATCATAAATACAGGAAACAAAATATCTTTGTTTGTTTGATTTTTCTTCAAAGGACCAAGCAGACAGTGTTGTAACTATTAAAATACACACTTAGCTTTATTTATCAGGGTTCTTGAATCAACACATGTGGAATCCCTTGTGTACTTGTAGTATATATGTTAATCTATACATACAGCATAAGTACAAGGAATCTTCACAGCTCAGAGATCAAGAATTTATTTTATCTTCTTTGAGTCAACTGTTGATTAAATATATATGTAACTAATCTCATTGAAAGGAGGATCTGGCTGGTAGGGGCACACAGCTGGATGAAAATCACAGAACTCTGTGTAATCTGGAGTCCTGTGTCCAGCTCTAGGGCCTCTAACATAAGAAGGACGCAGACCTGATCGAGCAGGTCCAGAGGAGGCCACAAAAATGACCAGGGGGCTGGAGCACCTCCCCTATGAGGACAGGCTGAGAGAGTTGGGGGTGTTCAGCCTGGAGAAGAGAAGGCTCCGGGGAGACCTTATAGCAGCCTTCCAGTGCTTAAAGGGGGATACAAGAAAGATGGAGAGGGACCCTTTATCAAGGAGTGTAGTGATAGAATGAGGGCTAACAGTTTTAAACTGAAAGATGGTAGATTCAGATTAGCTATAAGGAATAAATACTTTACCGTGAGGGTGGTGAGGCACTGGCACAGGTTGCCCAGAGAAGCTGTGGCTGCCCCCTCCCTGGAAGGGTTCAAGGCCAGGTTGGACGGGGCTGTGAGCAACATGGTCTAGTGCAAGGTGTCCCTGCCCATGGCAAGGGAGTTGGAAAAAGATGATCTTTAAGGTCCCTTCCAACTGAAATCGTTCTGTGATGTTGTTTGTGATCTGCAGACAGGGGAAATTACCACCTCATGAAACCTAATAGCAAAATGCCTGTTCTACTGTGGCCAAGCCTCCTTGCAGGGACAGCACAAGTAGACAGGCAGAAAAAAATAGCCTATGATGGCAGAGTGGAAAAGGTAGCCCAGCAGAAGTACAAGCTTGTCTGGACACAGACCAAGGGCTCTGAATTCAGGAATCTTGCTGAGGCAAGATGATGCTCTGCTTATCAATGCTCTAGTAGTAGCCATAAATGCTGTGGCAAAAACCACTGTGCTGGCCCTACAATCAACTTATCTTCCACGTTTTCCACCAATACTTTCCTGTGAGATTTCTGGAAGTGCTGTTTGATTCTACTGAAATCCCTGCTTACTTTAAAGGGGCCATTCTGACACCTCAAATCCCTTAAAATTTAATGGGTTTGGGCTCCTGAGGGAAGAGACATCATATATAGTTTAGGCACAAAGGGGAAGAGAAAAGGGAAGGGGAAGGTGAAAAAGGAAGGGAAATGGAGACAAGGAAAAGAAATGAACCCAGGTATAAATCATTCAGTACTTGCCAAGAGTGTGATAAACAACATGGTACATAAAAATTCATTAATGAACTCAAACTTAAAAATTTAAATAAAATTGAATCTTCTGATTTAAACCAGCTACAAGCCAGGAAAATCAGGCTTAAGAATGGGATCCTTTTGAAGTAATTTTATACTAGCTTGGTTTATCAGTATACTTATGAGGAGCAAATGTGCCCTCTGCAAATTATACACATCATGAAATCTCAAGCAGTCCTGCCAAGACCTGGTGATAAGTTGCTATAACAGCAGCTTGGGGTTTGAGAAATGCACTTTCCTTCACACTCATGGCAACAGGTGACCTAGTGGTAATGACATCATTAACACATTTCACCTTTTCAAGGTCTCCTGCTGGTGTTTTACTTATACTAGTTTATGGAGGAATCATTTCATTTTGGTGTTTCAAGTCCCTTGTGTTCTTAGTGGTATTTTTAAGAAAATAAACAGAAAAGTGGAAGGAGACCATCCTCTGGGATATGTGACTTGGGAGGAAACCATCTGATTCTATCAGCAGAGTCTGTCTTCTATGAAAAAGAACTTGGGAATTTTTACAGCAGATCAGATAAGATTGAAATCAATCTAATTCAGTTTTCCCTTAAGGAATCGGCAATACCCACTTTTTAATAAGCAGTTATTAAGTACTTGCCATATTTTCTAACAGATTCTCCAGATGGATATGTTTGCATTTGTTATGCAAACATAGGTATGTGTATATATATATATATATATATATATATATATATATATATAAAAAGAATAGTGTCTCAATTCATTATTTTACTGAGGCCTCTGGACTCTTCACTCTAGATATGCATGCAGAAGGATCTTCTGTTACTGTTGTGGCTATGTCTCTACATCCTTGTCTATGTACACTTTCGGGTACTGATTCTTCAGAAAATATTACTAAGTGAATTGTTTAACTCTTCAAAAGCTCCCTATAGTAACACGATGAAAACAAAACTATTAACTCCTGAAAGTTATTTAAAAGAAGAAAAAAAGTCAAACCCAGAGTAAAAAAGAGAAAAAAGAGAAACCCAAAGTACTGGTAGTAGAGCACACAGCAGCAAACAGTACAGTTCGGTATATGGGAGCATTTCTGAACCTTATGGGGACAGATTCTATCTCCATTGACATCAGTTGGACACTTATCATTGAATTCAAAAAGATCCTACACTGAAAAGGAGGCTTTCAAATGGAATTTGTGTTAAATAACCAAACATATCTGAGTATTTGACACCTTTATTATATACTCTAAACGCTTGGATACCACAACAATGCAAGACAGAACTGGGTTGTCTCAAGAGGAAGGAGGAGTAATTGCTGTCTTCAACTACCCGATGGGAGGTTACAGAGAAGGTGGAGCCAGACTCTTTAGGAGGTTAAACACAAAAAAGAGGCAATGGACAAGGGGTTGCAATAAGGAAAATTCCAAACAGATAGTAGGAAAATTTGTGTCAGTCATGGTAGTCAAAAAATGAAATGTGTTGTCCAAAGAGGCTGTGGAATATCCATCCTTGAAGACATTCAAACTTCGGATGCATATGACCCTGAGCCACCTGATCTGACCTAGAATCTGGCCCTGCTCTGAGTGGAGGATTTGGACCAGATGAAGGGAAGGGGAATGGAATGTCTGTTCAGTTTTGCATGTTCAATCCTTAGTACATTCCTAGACTGTAAAGAGACAGTGACCAATCGTTCTGTGATTTATTTTTGTTCAGAACATGATTTGCATCTGCTAGGAAAGTATTTGGCCAGTACATAGCTGTAACTTTTTAAAAATGTTATACAAAGTCTAAACTGTAAACTCATGTTAAGTCCTTGTTGGAAGTCAAGCAGGAGCAGGTTAGAAATACAACGGATGTTATAAAAGCTTTCCTTCTCCTTCAGGAAAACTTATGACTTACACCTTGTTTGCAAACAGTGCAACAGCAGTTCAACAAAAAATGATAATAAAATGGGGTTTGAAAATTGTTTGTTGTAGCTAGTAAAATTAAATCTACCCTGTGATTGTGCACACTACTTTTCTCTGTTCAGACTACCTACTACAGTTTTTTCACTGTACTGTGAAAGTGGAAGAAGCATGATCAAGTCCACACGAAGGCAGTGAAAACAAGGATTCTATTTATGGAATGATTGTGGCCCTCAAGTCTGAATTTAGCAGATATTAAGTCTATTCAGGCCAATTCTTCAAAAGGCATAAATTTGTGTAGTCATAGCTGAATCTCATCTGGGGCCCCAAGAATGCACAGGTTATGGGTACACCAGCAAGGTACTGTAGGGCATGGACATATGTCACACCCATTACTGCGGCGATTTTGCCCCCATACTGCTCGCACTCTGTTACCTCATGGTACATATGAGATGCTCTGTACCTCCATCACCAAGCAAGCCCATTCCTTTGTGGCTAAAGTAGGGGCAGATGTCACAGACTGACTCCTTGTAAGTTGATCCTTAAACTACCTACTGGCCAGTTGGCCAGTAAGCTGTACCTTATTTTTCAAGTTCAGCGTGGGGAAAGAACGTCAGAAATACCTGTACAGACTGGAAAATAAAACAACTCTTTGGTATCAAGGAGCTTACCAAATGACCAAACATACTTCACAGACTTGCATGTCTTGCTCCCGTCACACCTCTTGAGACAATCACCTGCCAAGTTTCATTGTTCATTTGACAAACACTTCATAGCTCTGCGTCTTCCCTGGGATTTTTAGCTTTACAAACTTAGCACAAGTAGTAACAAACAGGATCTTCAGCTACAAACATTAATTCTCCCTATGCAATGATGGACCACTTTACGGATAAGCCTTTTGTAATGCAAACAGCAGTCAAGTAAGATCTTTGTTTACTACAAGTATTTCATTTTCAGTGCTGTTGCAAGTGTACCTCCATCATTGACTTCTCCACCTGTCTACCACACTGAGGCCAGTCCCTTAGCAGAAGCGTGCTTGCAGTGTTTCTGATCCCTCACAATTCTCTGAATACACTGGATATTCCAGAAGTCTTCAAAAAACACAAGAGTCTTTCCATTAATTGTGGTACCTTCAGTCCCCTGGGATGATCCTGATTTCACAAGAGACATCTGAAGTATGAAAAAATAGGAAAAACTGTTCTTACTACAATTATTTTTTGACCAGAAATGGCAATGGCGTGCCTAGTATAGGGGACCGTTTTTTTGTATTTCACGAACATTGCAAAGTTAAAGATTTTATTTAAAAGAACTTCATTTAAAAGAAAAATAGTAAATGGCACATCATGTAATTGCTATTTATTTTCATAAACATGAGGTATTTCAAAGTGCTATAAGACGCAGCACTAAATGTACATCGTTGGAAGAAATTAAACACAGAACTTTGCAGTTACCCAGTTCTATGCACCAAACATTAACAAATACATTAACTGGAAGAAACAGGCTAGGAAAAGGCATATATAGTAAATTTCTTTACAAAAGTTTCTTAGTTCAAAAAAGTGATAAAGTAATATCTACTCAAAACTTTCACAACTCATTTTCATACGAAAATATAAGTATCAAATTTAGTTATGTATCAGCATCATACTAAAGTATACAGGCAATGTAAGAATTAGTACAGTACATAACAGAGATTAACAATATATTTGTATACAAAAACATGCTCCTCAAACATTGAGGTATTACAGTACTTAGGTATGAACTTCCAGTCTAATACTGGTAGCAAAAGCCACCTCTCATAACCCAAGACATGTACAAAAGGCAAGTGTGTAGATGGTATTTACAGAAAATTCCCACAGGGGTACAAAATGCCAACCCCTAAAGTAACATCTGTTAGAACATAAGCACCATAAAACTTAGGAATGAACGTTTCAAAACTCAACTAGATGTCATCAGCAGCTCCAAATGCTCACAACAATTTAAAAAAAAAAAAATCCCCACCATCTACAGTTCTTAAGGAGAAAAACAAAGGCAGTTCATTGTTGTTTGGTAGTCTTGCAATAAACTCCTTGCAAGAACATCCATTTGCTCCGTACCCGGATAATAGAGTTTGTCAATTACTTCAGGGACTAGATTGAAAGTGAAACCAACATTCTTAACGTCAAAAAACACAATTTTTTTTTAAAGAATCAAAAATGTGCAAAGTGGCAATGACTGTCCTGGTCAGCCAAAAAAAAAAAAAAAACCAAAACAAAAGTTTAGCAAGTCCGCTTGTATTCTATTTTCTTTAGCAATTGTTGTTGTCTGGCTTGCAATTTTTCCTTTTCTAGCAATAACTTCTGCTCCTCTGCCTGAAGGGAATGAACATATTCAGTGGCTTTTTTCAAGATCACAACTTTTGCAGCTTTCTCATTTTTAACCAGTTCTGGAACATGGTCCCTTAATGTGAGGAAACTTGACCGTAGATCATTGCGCCGTTGACGCTCCAGGATATTATGGTTGCGTCGACGTTCACTATCCTCTGAATCAGAGTTTCGAGGACTTGAACTCTTAGACTTTGGTTGGATCGTGGGTTTTACTGGACGGGGCACCTCGGTTTTTAACTTCTTCTGCGGTGGAGCATCTTCACTCTCCATGTATGGAGAAGGAGCGGCATAATTATGCTGCTGGTGAATTGGTGCGCAACGCTTTAAAATCAGTTCATTCTGCTGTGTCCTGACTGGTGGAAAAGTGGTATTTTTAGGACGCACTGTAATAGTAAGGGTGGTAACAGCCTTGTTGGAGGAGGAGCGTCTTTTCTCCACTGTCACAACATCTATTTCTTCTTCTTCATCCTCCTCCTCCTCATCTTCATCATCTTTTGGTAATAGAAAATGGAAAATAAAATAGACATTATTCTCACAGAATATACTCTGAACAAGTATCAACCCAGATATATTTACTGACAAAATAAAGTACAGTAAAAGCAGCAGTGAAATAACGAACGGCAAAAACAGGGTGTGCCCACCATCTGTAGTCAGATACAGATCAGGTAAAGTATGCAATATACATTAAATGACTGAAGTATGGCGATTTCTGAAAGTTTCGTAAGTTTAATGATGTTTTTTTTTAAACACTTCTAGTTTTCAATCAAAGCTGGGCTACCACCCACATAATCGCAGCGGCATAGAGGTTTTTAGACAGAATGTATGTATTTTGCTCGGAATTGCAGAGCCGCAGTACAAAAGGCACGCACAGTGCCACAACACAGCCCTTGCTTGGTAGAAAAGCAGCCGGAAAACGAAACAATCGCCGGGTTTGTTCTGAGGCAGAAGGTGAAGCTGCTCCAGCCGGGGACCCTTTAAGCCGGCGCTTGGTGCACTGCCAAGAAGACAGCTGTTGGAAGTGCTTCCTCACCCAAAGCTGTCAAACCAGACATTAAAGGGACAGCGGGCTTTGAAACCCGGGACGGATCACCAAGTTTGCGGCGGTGGTCACAGGGACCAGCTCATCTACATACGGGAAACCGCGTGTCAGCCCAAGGGGACCCCTCCGCAGCCACGGGCAGGAGCCCTTTCTGGGCACTTTAGGTGCTGCCAGCGCAAGCGCCCCTCTGCGGGGTCACCACCCTGACCCGGCCCCCCCCCATCACGCCTAAGGGGCACTCACGGGTTCTCCCCCACGAGCCCCATCCCCAGGGCGACAGTAGCAGCCCCGCTCTGCCCACCCCCAGCACGACCGCTGGGACGGGGCACGCCACCCACGGAGGACACAAGGTGAGGAAGCCCCGGGGGGTGCCCAGCACCGCACAGGCCCCCGGGCCGGGCCTGCCGCCCGGGGAGGCTCCAGCCCCGCCGCTCCCACGGGCCCGCCGCTGCCCCCCCCCCCCCGCCACCGGCCCCGCCGCTGCTGCCGCCTGCCGGCCGCCCGGCCCCGCACCTCGCCGCCGCCGGGGGCGGGGGGAAGCGCTTACCCGAATCGCTGAGGGTGTCGTCCCCGGAGCTGCTGCTGGCCCGGCTGTCGCCGGCGGGGCGAGGCGGGCGGCCGCTCCGCGTAGCTCCGCCGCCCGCCGCCGCCGCCGCCGGCCCGGCGCGGCCCGCCGCCGCCTCCCGCTTGTTGACGGGGAAGGGGAAGACCACGGCCGGGTCCACGCACTCGGGCACGGCGCCGCCCAGCTCCGGGCGGCCGCTGGCGGCGGCGGCGGGGCTGCCCGCCGGGGGCGGTGGCGGCGGCGGGGCGGCGGCGGGCGCCTTGCCCTGGAGCTTCTCGCTGACCGCCCGCTCCAGCTTCTCGCGGGCGGAGAAGCCGCTCCACATGCAGTCCTGGATGATGATGGAGTTGAGGTTGTTGGTCACGCCGAGGCCCGTCTCGAAGAAGTCCCCGCCGTCCGAGCCGCCCCACAGGTCGGCCTCGGGGGGCAGCAGGAGCAGCTCGGACGCCCAGTCCAGGGGGTCGGTGGGGCGGCAGCCCCCCAGGGCCGCCCCTCCCCACGGCACCGGGGCCCCCCCCGGGGGGTGCTCCTGGAGCCCGGCCCGGCTGGGAGACAGGGGAGGGGTGGGCAGCAGCTCAAACTTTTTCCAGATGTCCTCCCCGGGGGGAGCGGAGTCCGGCCCGCACAAATAAAAATCATCTTCGTCCGGGTAGAAACAGGGCTGCAATGAGTCGAACTCGAGGTCTGGGTTTTTACTGACCATTCCTGGCATTACGGGTCTCCTTCTGATCCTGGGGTCGGGCAATGGCTTTAGAGACAGGTTTTATGGGTATTTCCACCACGAGGAAGAAGAGAGGTTCTCCCAAGACCTGAAACTAAACCAAAAAAAACAAAAACAAAAACAAAAAAAACCAAACAAATTAAAAAAACCCAACAAAACAAAACAAAAAACAAAAAAAAACCCAAACAAAACAAAACAAAACAAAACACAACCACAATTAAAACACGAAAACACGAAGAAACAGACACGAATGTGACTCCCTTCCTCTTAACCGAAGGAAAAAATAGAATAATCCCATCATCGATAGCAAGAAATAAGGAGCCTTTTGCAAGTTGAAAAAAAATGCATTTCACACACACCTTTCCTCCCGACTCCAGATAGTCAAAGAAAAGCGATCAGGTAGTGCTCCGACATGCAAAGCTTTCCGCCTTTCCCGGCGCTCCGTGAGGACACAAAACCAGCCGGCAAGGTACAGCAAGGATGCAAAGCACCTCTGTGCTTTTGCACATAGCACCCGCCTGCTCTCCCCAAACTGCTTCAAACGCTCAAAACAGCAGAGTAACTGTAGACAGATGCAAGGCTTTGATACCGTAATCTCTCCAGAAAGCCCTCTTAATATGCCAGCAAAAGTAGAGGAAGTTTACTCCTTTTGTCATCTGCGGAGCAGTGCAAAGGGGAGCGAGAAGGATGCAAAGAAGGGGGCGGAGGGGCTCTTTGCAACTTCGCAAATCGCCATTCACTCAAAGCGAGCCAGAGAAATCCGCACAAAACACATGGGGGTGGGGGGTGGGGGGGGGAGAGGAGGAGGGGAAATCCAGCAGCAACAGAAATTATCAACCTTATGTAATAATCTCACGCACAAAAATGCATTAAAACCACCCCGGCGCCACCAACAAAGCCTCCTGATTTGCCAAGAAGGTACGGGAAGTTCTTCTCCCCCTTTTTCCAGCTTAAGACAAGAGCAACGGAGAGGTTGCAAAGACAACAACTTTGCGCATTTTGCCACTTCATGCAATCAAACCTCCTGCAAACACACCAGCCTTCCAGCCCTCTCACCTCCGGAAAATGCACGCTGCTGCCCTTACCTCGGCGGGACCCCCCACTCACTAGCCACGACCAGACAACCACAGCCCCATTCCTCCTCCGAGACCTCAGTTGCATCAGACATTAAAAAAAAAAAAAACAAACAAACAAAAAAAAACCAAAAAAACCCCAAACAAACAAACAAACACACCCCCCCCAAAAAAAAAAAAAAAACTTTAAGTCCAAAAAAGACATTCAGCGTGTCCCTCCAGCTCGGTTAAGGTAACGCAAAGGGAAAGCGTTCTGCTGGGTTCACAACAGCTGACGCTGAAACGGAGACCAAAAGGGGGAAAAAAAAAAATCAATCCATTAAAAGCCTTATGATGAAATGCAAAGAAACGAGCCCGGCTCAGCTGCTCTCCCCCTGCCCCGCCCCCGATCACTTCCAGTATTGTACATTTTTCTACTCGTGAAATACATTAAACCGTTTAAAATGCAAAGCAGTAAAGAGACACCTACAAAACACAGGCGATCTCAATGCGACAGCTCCAAAATAAAACAAAAATATCCTCCAGGATTTTCTTCTGCTCAATGAAAAACCCATTCCCGCACTGCAATGCCCCTGCACTTCCTTCCCCTTCCCATCCTCCCTAGTTTAGCAACTCAAATGCAATGTGGAATTGTATTTATTTGATTGGGTTTTTGTCCTGAAGCCCAGACCCTGCAGCTTCCTCTTCTTACCTCCTTGGTGATGGTGGTGGGTGTTGCAAGGGGGAGGAGTGGCGGGGGGTGGGGTGGGGGGAGAGAAGGAGAAAGCAAAAAAGGCAAAAAAAAGCAAAAAAAAAAAAAAAAAAAGCAGATGATCTTGTATGTTGCACTTTACTGAGCGCCAGCCCGCCCGGCCCCCGCGGCTGGCCCAAGCCTCCGCATTCACCCTTTGCTTGCAGACAGATGACTGTCACTGGCTGGCTTTGAAGCTGCTGGATATTATTAACCCCCCAAAAAGGCATTTAAAAAAAAAAAAAAAAAAAAAAAAAGACGGGGGGGGGGAACGAACTGACACACCCGGGTAGGGGAGCATTAAAAAAAAAAAAAAAAAAAAAAAAAGAAGAGGAAAGCGAGAGCAGCCTATCCCCACCTCCCTGATTTCCATACAAGCAGGGAGGTGCCTGGCATTTGGCGCCAAAAGCCCCATTCGCTCTTTATTCTCGGCCAGCAGAATGAGGTCCCGCTCCCGGTGCGAAAGCGCCAGGGGCGGGCAGGGCCGGGGGGCCGGGGCCGGTCCGCGGCTGCCCGCGGAGCCTTCCGCGTCCGCTGCCCCTTTGTGTCGCCCCCTCCCCGCGCCACCCCGGCCCCCGAGCTCGGGGGAAACGTCGCCCCCGGGCCGCCGCCCCGGAGAGCGATGACCCACCCCCCCCGCCCCCCACCCCTTCTACCCGCGGCCGCCATCTCCCGCCGAACCCCCCGGGGGCAATTAAAAAAAAAAAAAAGAAAAAAAAAAAAAAGACGAGGGATAAAGGAAGTGGCTGAACGAGGGAGTCGCTTCGACTCTGGGCTTTGTAAATAATCCGTAATCATCATCCTGCAGCGACCGCCTCCCCGCAGGCGAGCGGGGCTGGCAGGCCGGCGCCGCGCTGCCCCCCGGGCGGGCCGCCGGCCGTGACCGCGCTGGTCCCCGCGCACCCCTCTCCGCCGGCGCGGAGCGGCGCCGGCCCCGCGGCACTGGAGACGGGCGCTGGGCGGCCCCGCCGTTCCGCTGCCGACGGCGACACCTTGCGGAGGGCCGGCGGGAGCGGCGGCGCGGCGCGGCGCGGCGCTCACCCGGCGCCTCCGCGCATCTCCCCGGCGGCGGGGCACCCACCGCTCTCTCGCCTCCTTTCCCCCGCGGGGCGCGGGGGGCCGCGGCGGGGCCGGCCGCGGCAGGACGGGAGCGCGGCGCTCTCCTCGGCGGTGCAGCGGCGGCGGCGGCCGGTGCGATCCCGATCCCGCTCCCGGTCCGGGCCGCCGCTCGGGGCGGCGCCTCCGCGCTCATAGGCTGCAGGTGGAGGCGGGGACTCGGGCGGCGCTCGCAGGGAGGCTGGTGGCGGCGGGCCGCCGCTTTGTGTCAGGCGGCGGGGCCGCCGCGGGCGGGGCGCCGCCTCCCCGGCCCGCCTCGGCCGGCGGCGGGGGGCCGGGAGGAGGGGCGAGCCCGGGGTGTTCAAAACCGGCGGCTCCGGGAGGAACGGTCGGGAGAGAGTGGGCTGGGCGTCGCGGGGAGCGGATGAGGCGAGGGGGTAGTGAGCCCGGAGGGAGGCAGGGGTAGCCCGTGCCGCCCCTTCGCCGTGTCCCCTCCGGGGGAGCTTTGTGCAGGCGGGTCATGCCTCCCTCCCCTGTGGTGATCCTCCCCACTCCGCCCCGGCCGCCGAGGGGCTCCGGCCACGTTTTTAGTGTCCTGAGGCAGCCCTGGAAACAGCGCGGGGTGCGCGGTGTGGTCCTGCAGCCGGCGGGCGTCCCGGGCAGCCCGGCTGGGGCACGGGGCTGCTGGCGGTGGCAAGATGGCAGCGGCTGGCCGGCCTGTGCTGCCTGTGGAGGCCGGGCTGGGTGGCTTGGCTGACCAAAGGTGACAACTTCGAAGTCGGCCCAGCTAGACTCTTTGCTCCCCCAGCTCTCCTCCGCCCACCTTTTCCCCTCAGTGTGGAGGTGCCGGGGTGCAGTTTTGCAGAGGAGCCTTCGGCCGGCTCTGGCTGAGAGCAGAAAGGGCACCTGGGGGGCGAATCCTCTGTGCCAGAGCTTCTGAGAGAGCGTGGTTCAAGCAGGGGGTGCTGAAGGTGACTTTTGGGTATCCCGCTATGAATTATAACTTGGCTGGGAGGTAACAGCAGAGTGGAATCAGCTGTGGCGGGGGCAGAGCTCCGTGAAGCAGGGGAGCGCTGGACCAAGTCCCGCCGGGGCTGCGCCGGGCCCTGTGGCAGCGAGCCGGCAAGATGGTGGGAGGTCAGGCTTGCCTGAACTTCCATGATTTGGCCTCCATTCCTATAATGCACTGTGGATTCAAGGCAGGGGAATTCATTGATTAACTAATGTGTTCTCAGTACTTTGAAGATATGAAGTCTTATGAAAGCTCTGAGCTTTATTAATTTGTTTGGATGATCTGTCTGGACAAAAAAGGTGTGGGTGGTTGGGATTCTTTTTCTCCCCTCACGTTTCAGTATCCTTGAACAGGTTGCAGCTTGTGAGGAGACATGAACAGTGTCTCACTGAGTGTGTGAACAATGTATTTATACTCATCAATCGAGGACCTTCCTCACCTTAAACAATTATGTCTGATTTGCTCCTTTAAAGTAATTATTTTTGTCTTCTACATTTCCTTTAATGTTTTTATATATATGCAAATACTGCTATGTCGAAACCTTAGAGGTGGACAGGGCTGCTATCTGATTTATTGTTGATTCGGTATAAATTCTCACCTAGATTTTCTTAGCAGCATTTTAAAATTTTCCTTTTTTTTTTTTTTTCATATGTACATGTGTGGGAATAAAGCTATCAACTTCTATGAAAGTTCTGCTGTGGTGTGTGATATCGTTTGTAGTACCCTAGATGAGAACGTTAGTGAGGGGTAACACTCAAGACAAATCTTTTAAAGTAACTTTCATTTTCAACCCCCCACCAACCGAATGAAAACTAAAAAACCCACCAAACAGGAAATGGAAAGCAGTATGCTGAGAAACATAGCTGCTTATGACTGCTAGCACTGTTTAGGTAAAAAGAGTTGTTAAAACCCCAGATCTGTTGCTTTGTTTTGTACAGTTGAGAAAGACATGGAAAACATTGTGCAAAGCTTTGGAAGGACTACACAAATCTTTGTGCTGTTTTGGCTGACGCTTACTTTGGGCTATTTTGTCAACATTTACTTTTTTTTTTCTCTGATCCCTTCTGTCCCTGAAATGGCATGTATCAAGAAGCCTCAGGGCAAATGGAAACCTGAAATTACTTGTAGTTACTGTGAATTTATTATTACGTTGTTTCACTGAAAAAACTTGGGAATTAAGATGTGCTGATACTAGAACTAGGTAGCTAGATATTAGAACTACCCAATATAGACCAGTAGCGCATCTCGTATTTTAAGACATTATAAGAATTTGCTATCTGATAAAACAGAAAAAGATATTTTTAAAAGTGTATAAAGGCTAGAAGATACTTTTGCTTATACAGTGGTTAGATTCTAAGTAGATTCTGTGGTGTTTAATTTGGCCTCACAGTGAGCCTGACAAAGCACTGGGCTGAGAGCTTGGACATACACACCTGGGCATAATACATGGGTAAGTTGCTGGTGTTCAGGGATACTGAACATTTTCCCTTTCGTCGTTATTGATTAATTAAGTAATGCTGTGTAAGGCAAATTTCTCTGGCCACACATACCTCTCTTTCATCCTTACAGCCAACAACTACCAAGATGATCAAAACAAACAGGACAGTATTACTTGATATGTGTGCAGTTGTCTTTCTCAGAGGCACCCAAACTTCAGTACATTCTTGAGTTTTCTTTGCTAGTCAGAAGTAACGTATATACTCTCATGACTCCATGTTAAATTTTGAAAAGGGTTTGTAAACCTTAATTGGGGGAGAGGTGTGTGTTCTGATTGCACTTGGCAAAAGCATGACAGAATTGGAATGATTCACCCTTCTGTCTCAACCAGCAGAAATGACATTTTAAACTTTCTGTGTAGGACTAGAAAGGACCCAAGTATGAACACTCATAGACCTGGGATTTTAATTTTTTTTTTTTTTTTTTTTTAAACAAGGACCTTATACACTTCCTATTAGATAGCAGGAGTGACATTTTCAGGTGGACTAAGTATTTGGAGGTAGCTGCTAAGATAACAGCCACAAAAGCTGCCAGATTTAGAGCAGCAAATTTATTCCTGCATACCTTCAGTAAACTTGCTGGATAGTTGTACTGATCCCTGCTGTGTAGCTGCTGAGTGTGTGTAATCTAAAATATTTCTCTTGACATTCGCCCTGAAAGTAGGGTCTGGTATTACTTTTACCCTCATTCAAGTGAGACAGTGTAAGGGACTTACCCAGTATCACATATGGAAATTGCAGCAGATTTCCTCGGTATGCTGATTGTGCCAGCCTGAGGTAGCAACTGCTTTCCCACAAGTTCTTGGGGAGTGTGTCATCATCATCCATTAAGATGAAAGAACAACACAACCTCTCAAAGCCATTGGATGTCAGCTCTGCAAAGAATGCTGTCGTCAGTGCTACATTCATAGATGTTCTTGTGACATGAAAACTCTCAAATACCAGCCGTAATACCTAGTGCTTGTACAATGTTTCACATGACCAAGACATTGTACAAACACAGACATTGAAAAACTTGTGTTATTCACGTCACCGCAGAGGTCACTAGCCAATCTCACCTGTGTGTTCAAAAGCATTTTAAGGAGTGCCTAGTAATCAGAGAACTAATTCTATTTAAATAAAACTAATTTTGAGGTCATATTTTTCATTAGAAATGCCCTGATAACAGTATCACGCTGGCTGCTCAGAACAGAGGAGTTACTGAATTTAACTGGGTAACTGTGGCAATATGCTCCACCTTTTAAGTTACTAGACACATCAGAAACCATCTTTCAATAGTTAGTGAAAATAAAAAGACCTTTCTTCCTTCTGTGCTTTTTTTGTACATTTGGATTCTTCAGGAGTGGTTGATCAGACCGGCGTTTGTGTACTAGCCTTCTCCCTCAGCTTTCTAGCTTCTCAGAGAGCATTG